ATCTCGAAGGTTTTGAAGGGGGAGAGCGGGAATGAGGATTTTGGGCCGTTCTCTTGCCTTTTTCGTCGTTCGTTCCTCCTAGATTTTTTTTTTAATAGCGAGTTCGTGAGGGGAAATTGGAAGAAGAAAGGCATCCTCTGTCTTTTTTTTAATTAAATTATAATCTTAATTTTTATTAATAATACTCAATTAATAGATAAATACTCATTATTTATATTATTAATTAAGAGTTTTCTGAAGATTTTACATTTTTACTTGGTTATTTTAGCCAATTTCTCCATCCTATCGTGATAGAAAATTATGACAAAAAAATAAAATCAATCCCATTTTTCAGATCACCCAAATAAAATCAAAGAGACCCACGTAATAATTCAACGAAAATTTCACAGAAAGATCATACGGGGACAAAACGACATACCGGCGAGAGAAAGAGGTGGTGACTCCGACGTAGGTCTTGATGGGGGTATTTGTGGAAATGATGAGATAAACACACCACGCGTTTTCCTTTGATTTAGAGCTAAGTTTTGCTTCTGGTTTTCTCGAAGTTGGTTGCGGCGGCGGCGTTGAGTATGAAGATGGCTTTGCCGCGACGGCGTCGTTTTGGGGGAGCTTCACGGAAAGGAAAACGCTTGAGAGCCTTCCCATGATCATGATTTTCGGATGGGAAAATTGGTTTAAGACATTTGGTTTAAGGATTTCATGGTTTTGAAATTTCTGGGTTTATCATCTCTTTTCTTTTCTGATGGATCTAATTCAATTACACAAAGTTTGCTGAATAATGTAAATCTTTTAATACAGTAAAGACAATTATCCCAAATTGGAAAAATTGTAGAAACCGATATTATCAGAAACGACAAGGATTGCAAAAACGACAATAACATAAACGACATCATCTGTCAAACGACAGAATTATGGATTGCAAAAACGACAATAACATAAACGACATCATCTGTCAAACGACAGAATTATGGAAAACGACAATAACCATGAGACGGCATAAAATGTAAAAGCACTATAATAAAATCAAAAAATAACATCGCTATAAAAATAGTAACCAAAAAAACGACAGCATTTGGGAATACGACAAAATTTTTTTAAAAAAAAGCAAATAGTAATGACCAATAATAATGAAATTTCCAGCCAAAAAAAGAAAAATAATAACAAAAAAATATGTAAAAACAAGTTAAGCATGTCGCCAACATTCATCTGAGTTAGGATCGAACTTTGCATGAGATTCATAGTTGCATTGTGTATACAACATCAACTAGAGAACGACAGTGGAAAAATGATAAGTTGAAGACCACAATAATAGATACACTGAACAATAATTTAAGAAAAAAAAAAATACAGTGAACAATATCAAACTAATAATGACATCAAATTAAACGAGATTAACCAATAAGCTCATTTTCTTCTTTTAAAGACGCTCATTTTGTTATTGTCCCACACTGAAATTTCTCTCTATATTATTGCGAAAATGCTATATTTACCAAAATGATATATAAAGATTTAAAAAAACGATAATAAATTGGAAAATGATATTAGAAATTGATATTATCATAAACGACAATGATTACAAAAAAGACAAAACGTAAACGACAACATTTGTCAATACTCAAGCGACGGCATTCTGAAAAACGACAATTACCTTGAAACGGCATCTATTCCTCTTTCTAAAAGTGAGAATAGTGCACCATCAAGTTAAACAACAGTAAACAGTAAAAATAACATAAGCTTATTTTGTTATTATCCCACACTCAAATTTTTCTACGTAACCCAAAAATGTGTTCACTATTTTTATTATTATTGTTAGAGCATAAAAGTCGATTTATTTTTACCAGTGAAGCTTAGAATTATATAGTTGAAAATTGTTAAATCATACATAACGCCGATTACTATTAGCATGCAAAATTTGCGTTAGCCTTTGTCAAATATCCATCCGTTTACCACTTAAATTGAGCTTAATTCCTAGTTGAACATCTCACCAAGCAACTATTGGGATAAACGATATTTTCATTTAAAACTATGTGAACTAGTGAATTTTATTCATATTTTTAACAAATAGAAGGATATATAATACATCTTAAGAATTTACACTGTTCTGAAAAGTCCTAGTTGGTGTATCTGTCAAGATTTTAAATCTCGATTCCCAAAGTGAGCTTGAAGATAAGAGGTTATCCAGTTCCAAAGTGACAGCTTGGAGCCGAAGAAGCGGACCTGCACCGATTTCTTCGACCCATCTCTGGGAAATTCCAAGTCCCTCGCAATGTTAGAGAGGGTAGTACTTTCTGGGTCATCAAGCAGAGGCAATGCAACTGAACCCTCTGATTCTAGGTTTTTGATCCATCCACGTAACAAGAAATTCACAACCTGTATGTATTGCAATGACGCTCTCTTAAGCATTCACAAGGATGATAGTTAAAGATAACGAAACTTACATCAGTGGAAATGACATTTTCACCAGATCGGAGAATGTTGCTTAAGTTACTCTTTTTTCTTTTTTCTTTTTTTTTTTTTTTTCTGTTGTTGGTTATTGAACAAAAATTGGAGACATATAACAAGACAACTATCTTCTCCCCCACAATGAGATTTGAATCATTATGATCTTATAATTAGATTAGTCAAGAAAAAATGAGTCCTGAAAACTCTCAAGTGACAATACGAAGCAAGAGAAGCTACATACCTCAGGAACTTCATCATGCGGGCAGTGACCAGCCGGGCTGATCTCATAATATGGAGCTTCTGGCACTTGTCGTTTCACCTGGAGGCCCCAAACAGGCCTCACCCATGGATCTTCTTTTCCATACATGAGGCAGATCGGTACATTGTTCATTTGACATCTACAGATGAAAATGAAAACAGCTCCTTTAGGATAGGAAAGAAAATTATGAAATGATATCTTAAAGTGTTAGTAATATTACATGATTTACCCACCTAGATAAAGCCTCCCCAAATGATAGTTGTCCCTGAGGAGCAAACATAATCGAGGCCAATGACGCAGCAGCGGCTGGATGCTGTGTTGTTTCTAATATATGCAAAAACACTTTATCAACCTTTGTTGAATGGTCTGCATACACTTGCTTGAGTATCTCTGAGATGCTACTAGGGTCGCTTATTTTCTGCCAACTGAAATCAATAAAACAAACTCAGACAGTTTTTACTGCAAATAAGGATTTAGACTTTGGAGAAATTTCATATATCCCAAAAGTAATAGGAATAGACTATTGAACAAATGGATCAACTGACAGAGACATACAGTAGTTCTGTAATTTTTCTGACGCGGGCAGGCAGAGGAAATGTTCCAGCCCATGGGAACAGTTTAGCTAATCGTGGAGATCGCATTGGGTTAGGGAGAAATCCCCAGAAAGGGGTTGCATTGAGCAATGTAACACCCTTAACCAGGTGAGGATTGCATGCTGCAAAATACAAAGAAACATATCCTCCCAGTGAGTTCCCTATTAGATACACTGGTTCTCCAATGACCTGCAAAAGAAATGATTGAATCAAACTCAGTTGTTTATACACTCTAAGTTAGTCCAGCCAATTGTCTTCATTCTAAAAGACCTATATGGTTTGCCTAAGTATATACTAATTTAAAAACAACATAGGTTTTCTTAAATATGCCAAGAATGCGAAAAGCAAGGGTTTTGCTAAATAAAAGTAACATGTTGAATAATATTTGATTCAAAAAATAAGAAATATTATTGTATTTCTAAATAGTCCATGCCTTTAAATGAAGCATCCGTTTATGATTTCTCTAAAGAAAAAGTGCAGCTCAATTAGGTTTACTAAGCACACCTGTTCGATGAAATACCGAACTTGATCCCTCCACAAGTCAATAGAGTACACCAGCTCACTTGCCCATGGCTCAGTTTCATCTCCAAATCCCCAAGGGAAACCTTCCCTCTTAGACCCACCTTCTTCCTTAGACAGAGGAGCAGGATCTTCAGAAGGCAAAGACAAACCTTGCCCGAGAAAATCGATTGCCCACACCCTATAATCGCGGCCTAAGTCCTTCAACTGCTTCTCATAGTGAAAAGAACCAACACCAAAACCAGGAAGAAACAACACTGGTGGAGAGCTCACATTTTCACACCCAGCTTTATCATAGTGAACACTGAATTTGGGCTTCCATTCCCAGAAGCAACTACTGATCTCGGCCGATGATTCACCATTCGATTCGTCAGGCAAACCCGGGATCAAAACCTTAGTCACTGATTTCCCTCTTTCTGAAATCCCTCTTGCTTCATCTTCCCCACCAATCACATAACCATCATAGCTCCCACTTAAGAGCACCTTGGAATCAACACGCTTAAAGCTCCCAAAACCTTCCCGGGAATCCGAGTTTTTACCCAAAAACTTGTCTAATTTGTAAAATCTCAAAGACCCACTTCCAGAATCAACTTTAGCACAAAAAACCCTAGCTTTTCTGGAAGTTGAAAGCTTGGATTGAGAATTTTTTGAGCTTTTAACCACCAAGTTCCCATTCAAATCTACAACGTGACAGCATGGTGAAGAATTATAAGAGAGAAGTTCCATCACCAGAATCTTCGGTCTGTTATGTTCAGCAACAAATTTTTAGCTAAATTTAAAATAGTTATATATATTCTCCGAAACAAAACAAAGCTGAAAAAGGCTAAAGAACAAAAATTGAAAGAGAGGGAAAAAAAAAACCTATTATCTAATAATCTAATTTTCTCGGAAACCAAACAAAGCTGAAAAGATAAAGCACAGGAATTTTCAGCAATCTCGAGATAACAACTTAACCTAACAACAAATTCGGATTAGAAAATTTCATAGAAATTGTAATTCCTAGCTCCTATAAACAAACTAGGCACAGAGAAAAGATATCTACGAAAGGACAAATTCTTTTCCCCATTACCTTTAATTTGAGGAGAGAAATGTCATTAGATTCCGATTGTTTCTGGTATTCCAGTGTTCTCCGAGTATTTAGGAGAAAATTAGTCAGAGATTCTGACAAAATCTAGAGAGTGAGAGAAAAAGAAAGGCATTCAGTTGCTTAAAAGCTTTGTCTTCCTTTTAAAGCCAAGAAAAAAAAAATCTAATTTTAATAACGTGCCAACATTAATTTCCTTTTAAATTTTGGGTCCTTTTAAATTTAAAGGTTATTTTGTACCAACACCTCTTAAATTTATAGTTTTTGACACTTTCAACTCTTATTGTTCAAACTTATTAAAATTTTGATAGTTTTTTACGCCCAATTTACAAATGATAGCTTAATAAGGACATTGATATTTATTTTATACAAACATATTTAAAAACTTGAACTTAACTTAATTATAAATTAAACTTTAAAAATTTTATTAATACTAAACAAAAATATCATTAATGAGCTTCTTACGCTATCACTTGTAAATTTAACACAAAAAATCATTAAAATTTTAACGAATTTAAGCAATAAAATAATGACTAAAAGTGTCAAAAATTAAAAATTGTGAGGGTTAATTGTCAGGAAAAAAAATTTAGAAACTAAATTGCCAAATATGAAAAGTTTAAGGGGTGTTCATACAAAATAACCAAATTTAAAAGAAAAAAATGCTTTATTCATTTTTTATTTTGATGAAAAATATGGTTCAGTTGCTAAATGCCAAGTACTTTGTACTTTGCTATGTGAATGCTTGTACTCAGGACCACAGATTTTGCATTGCTGTTCTCTTTATTTCTTTTTCTTCGATAATCTGTCCTCTGTTTTTTTTTTTTTTACCCAAAAAAAAAAGAGATAATTTTGTCCTCTTTAATTATTGGTTAGTTGGTTTTATAACTTTTCGTTTCCCTTTTCTATAGGACACAATTGACCATATGTCATTCCAATATTTTAGCATGCATTTGGTATGCCTAAAGTCTTGAAGGGCAACACAAATAGATGGTGCAAGGATGTTTTTCTTTTTTCTCTTCCTCTCAAGATGCATTTATATTTGATAATCAATAACCTCAAATAAGAGGTCATGCTCTCAAAATGTGCTTTCGAGTAAAATGTTAGGTCCTTTTCGTTCTTTTGGTCAATTTAGATATTTTTCTTAGAAGAACGAGAAAAAAAATATTAACAAAAGTTAATATACTATGGAGACGTTTGGTTTATAGATTAGAATCATGATATTAGAACTATTTTTAATTTACGTGCATTTTTTATAAAAGAAAATACTGTAACGAACTATGAACCATAATTCAAATCATGGTATAAATTTTCTTTCCAAACGTCTCCATAGTGTTTAGTTCCTATTCTTCCCAACCTTCAAAAAACATATCAGAACAAAAGGAGAAGGAAAATTCAATAAATTTATAGAAAATCATCTGAACTTTATAGCAATAAAATGGGGTGTCTTTGTTTAATACCGAACTATAGTAAAAGAGGGGGAAAGAAAAAAAGTCAGTTTCCTATTAGCACGTGTCTCTCCAAATGGTAACGTTTCCACGATAATGAAATGAGATAGCACAAAAATCTGTTTCACTCCAACTATTGGCTCATTTATATTCTAATAGAATATGTATAAAACAAAATAAAAATACGTAAAAATGATTCTCTACAACGTGATCAATGAGCCCTTTCTGCAACTGGGCTCCATCTTCACCAAACCAGTTTCTGAGACTGTGACTAACTCGCCAGATCATCCCACGTGGAATATCTCTGTCACATTCACGACTTGAGACAAAAAAAAAAAAAAAAAAATGTTAAACTTACTATTAAAGTGTACTCTTAATAAAAAATATTTTATTTATTTATTTATTTAATTAAAAATGATATTAATTAAAAGTAAAATATAAAAATTTTGACTCATAAATCTCTCTAAAATTCTAAAAAATATAAATTGTTATTTTTAAATATTTTTAGGTATTCTCATAAATTTTTTTTTATTGATATTTAGGTATTTGTCTCATTTTCTAAAAAAAATATAAATCTCTCTAAAAATTATTCGTGACACATTCATAAATTGTTATTTCAATATCTATCTGACTTTTTTTAATTTTTATTCTTTGCATTTTCACAATGGCCTAATTTAACACGGTTTTGAAGATGTGAAAGTTGGAAAGAGGATGTGGTAGTTTGGTGTCTTGTTTTTGCCCGGAAATTAATAGGTGGTCGTGTTTGGTTGCGATCTCAACACGCCACGTTTGGTAGGCCATACCAACGTCCGTCACTTTGCATGAATTGATTGGGAAGTCAAAATTAATAGGTGCGTTTAAAACTCGTTTTAAAATTATTTATTTTTTATATGAAAATAGAAATGAAAATATTTTTAATTTTAAATAAAAATTATTTTTAAAAATGTGTTTAGTAGTTTTATCAAGATATTATTTTCAATATAAAAAAATTCATTAATGTCTCTCTCTCAACTTGAGAGAGAAGAAAACAGAATCTTCTATTTTACACTAAATCAAAAAATCATTTTCATTTATGTTTTTTGTCTTTAATTGTGCCAAATATTGTTTTTCTCCTGTTTTTATTTTTTCTTTCTCAAAAAATGTGAAAAATAAAAATAAAAATAACTCCAAACACAACCGATAATTTGATCCTTAAATGTTGAGTAACCAAAAACGATCCTTGTGATTTTCACAACTCAAATTTTATTATTAGTATTTTTTCATAAAAATTCAAATTTACTCTTTTTATACCGCATTTTCTTACACATAAACAACTCAAGTTCTCAACTTGAGTTGCGAAACAAACACCCTTATCTTTTGAATTTCGATTTATTGAAAAAATCTTTTTTCTTTTGATTTTCCGCATTACGTCATTCTAAAGTTCATGTCGTTTTTACTCATTGTCTTCTCCCAAACTTTTGGTGTTCTTCCACACGAAGCCATTTTCTTGTCGTTCTAATATTGCTGTCGCTTCTCTAGATCATGTTTTTTAATTCATTATAATTTATAACATTTGTAACAAATGACGCCGTTTCAGCTTGTTGTCGTTTTCCCGACGTCATTTTTTTACTATATTGTCGTTTTTGCACTCCAATCTTTGAGTTTAGTGTCGTTTTCTTATTATAATGCGGTAGGCCATTTTATTATGATTATTGCCGTTTGATGTTTTTGATGTCGTTTCTTATCCGGTTAGAGAACAAACAGAACAAACCAGCCCAAAAACCCATTGACGCCAACATCTCAAACACAAACACAGAATCCAAAGCCTTTGATTCTAATTGAACCCAATTTTCTCCTTTATTAATCATCTAAATCTTACTTTGTTTGCTCCATATAGGGGAATTTTTCTTCCCATCTCAAGACACAGAAATCCGGGTCTATGATCGTACCGTTTTAAGTTATAATAATTAGTCTCTTAATCATTTCATGAAAGCGTTTTATATATTATCCTAAATTTGATAGAGCTTCCTTGGTGAAGAGCTAATTGACGAAGGGTCATATTGTCAACTAATGGAATAAACGTATGATAATTTTCCTTAATCAAATGCTTCCTTCGTTTTCAATGACCTTCATGTATGTTTGAAAATAGTATTGATGTCGTTTAATGCTTTATCAATTGAAGCATATAATTATAAGTTAATAACCACTAGTCTGAGTCGCGGATAAGAGTGTGATGAAGCTCAACTTTGAAAAGGCTTTGGTTTGATCCAAGTTTGTGCTAGGGTAAAATTATAAACTCTAAATCATCCATTGAATGAGACCCACGCATCATAAATGAGGGCATTAAATGATCAATGACAGTTCAGTCTTAACCACCATGTCGGATGATAACTCTCTTAAAAGTAAACCGCTAGTTAAGGGTGTGGCATATATAGGATGTCAACCGCTCTGAGGAGATGCAAAGGACAACATGAGGTCGACTGCACCAATAATTGTAAGCGAAGATGGTTCTGAGAACGCTTATGAAGTCAAGTCTACGCAAGTCGAGAGATATACGAAATATACAAAATTTAAGCAATGAAATCATCATGATTGATCGTAATCTCCATTTTTTGGGAAACTATCCCAAAAGATGAGTGAAATATCCCTAAATTACATAAGAAAAAAGCAACGACGATGGTCAACGATATAAATAAGGGGTTATAGGTAAAAAGATCTTGAAGTCTCGTTCAGAGCAATTAGAATGTAATTCTTTGTGAAAAATAGTGAACTTTCTCCTCCACACAGCGAACATAGCTCTTGAATTAGGGTGAGGCACTATAATTATTGTGTGTTCTTACTTTTTAATTGCTTATAATCGTGAGTCTGATCATAAAAACTCACGCAAACCATTTTGAAACTTATTATATTTCCGTTGACATATGTTCACTGTCAACACAAGTCAACCTTGACTCTTTTATCTGTTTAATCGTGTTATGCTGATCAATGACAGGAGCACTTGCGTAAGAACAAGACGGTAGTGTTGTGCATTAGCCGCAAAAAAAGCCCCCATCACTTTGTGTTAAATAAAAAATAGGTCTCGTTTATTTCATCGATTTGAGTTTTTAATTTTAAGTTTTTACAGTTAAAAATTTTTAAAATATGTCTCATCTCAAAAACTATCACATTTAATTTTTTTATTACAGTTAAATTTTTTTTTAAAAAATTACATCACAATTCAAATTAAATACTTAAATTTACAAAGCCAAGACCTATATTACAACTGACGGACCTATAAATGCAGCAGAGGTGCGGTTCTGTTAAATCAGGTCGTTCATTGAACTACATTTACTTTCTAGAAATGAATATCTGTGACGAGTGTTTAACATTTTATAAGAATCTTGCTCTTCTACGAAACTTCCTAGTTGCTTGCTGCATGATCAGCACTACGCCCTACGGGCAGGGTGTCTTGATCATACGAGATGATGCCCACAAGAACATAAACAAAGATAAATGTCTCGTTCATCGTATCAATTTGAGTTTTCAGTTTTAAGTTTTTATAATAAAATTTTTTTAAAAAATATCATATTTAATTTTTTTAATTACAATAAAAAATTTTAAAAAAATATCATATCTCAACTTTAATTAAAAATTTAAATCTGTGAAGTGAACGAAACTAACATTTTAATCCCATTGAGAGGACACTCGTCAACGTTACTCAAAAAAGAGACTATTGCTACAA